CTTGGGGTAGGTGCCCGCCCCGAGCGGCAGGGCGCATGCGCGTGCGGCCCCACGCCGCAGTCGGGCCCGCCCGCCGCACCACGCACCCTAGCAGTCAGTGGGTGAGCCAAGTACCGCGGAGGTCATCGTGGGGAGGCGGGGCGGGGGTGGCATGGCAGCCTCCTTGCGGCTCCGTGGAGCCGCCTCCGGCCTCCGATACTGGAGCCGCCGGCAGCAGCCGGTAGCGGCCAACCTTGCAGCGGGTAAGGACCTCGCACTTTTTCTCCCCATCCCTCCTCCGGCCGCCGGCTTCCCGCGCCCAGACTGCCAGAGAGGTCCTCTCACCAGAGGCGCTGCGGTTGGATCGGGGCTTAAACCCAGCATTTTGGCTGGTCCCAAGGCCTGGCCTCTTCTGCTGCTGCGGCTCGCGCTGCTAGTCTTCCCCTCACTCTCCCCACCCCAGATCCAGATGAATGGGGTTCAGCGTCGTTTCGGGACTTAGGAAGCGGTGGGAAGAGCTTGGGGTAAAGGGAGGAGTATTTAGGTTCGTGCCGTGCTTCTTTGGAGTTAGGGTGCTGAGGACAACTGGAGGGCCCAGCCCCGGGGGCGACCCCTGGGCTTGCAGCGCTGGCTGGCCTTTCAACGCCCCCAGGGCGCGCCCACTGTGGGTGGGCCTGATTTCTGTTTAACTACCTTAATTGTTTAAGATGTTTTTACACACGTGGCGTCCGTATACAACCCGGGTGATCAGTCTTTCCCGCAAAGTTTTAAGTCACCCTTGACCGGCAGGGCGGGCTTCCCCAGCTTCTTCTCTGTAATTGTGCTACCTGAAGATGGCACTTCTGTCAAATTATTAACCAGAATGCTTTCAACGTCCTGAAAATTGTGACCTGAACGTATTTTGCCCCTCTCCCCGAATCCCCAAACCACTGTAAGTTATGGAAGTTAACCATTGATTTAGGAAAAGGCAATTTTAGACCCACAGAGATCTAATAGTCTTTCATTTTTCAGATCAAGACCAGAAGCCCCTTGGATGAGTGAGTTAGGATATCACAACAGGATCTAGAAAGTAGTTCTTTATTCTTCCTGATTATTGCACTTTCTACCACAGCAGGATTCCTCTCTCATTGAAAAATTGGTTGATTTGTGGGTTCACTGCCATTGTTTCCCTGTAAAAAATTTTAGAGTTTTTACAATGCTGTGTTTTGCACGCTCATGTACTTGGGATTTTTGAAAAAGCCCTGGCATTATTTTTTTTCTGATCTTTGCTTGAAAAAAAAAAGTAGCGGGCTGGGAGTTGAATTCTTAACAGCCTCCCTTCCTCCCCCTCAGTAAAACCTAAGCAGAAGAGTGAATTTCCTTTCTGGCTTGAAAAGGGAAAGCTCCGTGTGATGCAAGAGAACAGATGTCTGATACAGAATCACAGTAATAAGATACAAACTCAGAGAATTTGCTCAACTTGAGTGTAACCACTGTTTGAGCTACATGTGTCGAACTACAAAAAAATGCCTCTCACATTGGAGATACTTTAAAAAAAAAGTCACTTTTCTGCAGTAGTAAATGTAGCACCAGTTTTCACATCAATGCACAGTTCTTTCAGTTTTGATTAGTCAAGGAAGACGTATGTGCTATTTAGTGGTTTTACAAGGTGTTCTAATGATATTTTAATGAACCCTTCAAGTACCTTTTAGAGTTATGGAAGTTCTTACAATTCATGGTAGAAGAGTCTGAGGCCTATGACTATAATTATTGCTTCTGTAGACTGGAAAGGCCTCCCTTGAAATGCTGGTAGACTACTTTGCCATATAATCTTGTTCCTTGACCCAAAGATGTAAGAACATAGATTTGTAACAAATTTTAAATAGCTTTTTGTTTCTGATTTTGGTGATGATTGTTTAAAATACTTCAGTAATTGTTTTTACTCAGTGGAATTGTTTTAAATGTTTTTGTTAATTTTAATTTACAAGAGTGTTAACTTTTTTGATGTTGGAGTCTTAAAAAATTACATGCCAGTTTAGAGTCTACGGACATTAAGAAAAAGAACCATGTTCAAATAGTAACATTATTTAGTGTTCTGATTTCTGTGGAATGTTTGCCTCCATGGTACCTTTAAGATGTTTATATCATGTGGAAGGTAATATTGTAAAGACCCATACAGTTATTTACAGTTTGAAAAAAATGAGATCTAAAAGTTACTGGTAAATAGCATATCTTAATTTTAAAATACTTAAAGCATCAAAAAGGAAATAGAAAAATGAGAAATATTAAACTAGACATATATTACTATTTCATCACCATTTAATAAAAGTAAGTTTTGTGTTTTATCTTAATGTAATTAAATTTAGCTTAAAACTTTTTTGTACGGGCAAAAAAATTACAGATGTTGACCCTCTACAGTCATTGTGATTCACTAACATATGTAAGGAAAAAGAATGTGTATCAGATCATCTTGAAGTGATCACCTGACCAAAAGTGGAGTGGGAATATTAATCAGCATTATACACAGAAATGGGGATACATTTTTTTTTATTGTTGGCTCTTTTTATGTATATGAAATCTACTTTCAAAATAGCACAACTCATTGCATAAATAAAATGTATAAAAAAATAGCTTTTTTTTTTTTCACTTTACATTAGCTCTTAGGGTTGCACATGAAGCTCTGAAAAGCCGCACGTGGCCCTAGGACCGAAAGTTGACTTTTAACTTCTGAAATTCATTACGTAAGGAGAATACAGTTGACCCTTGAACAACATGAGTTTGAACTGCACGGGTTCGCTTATACATGGGTTTTTTTTCAATGAATATATACTACAATTGGTTTAATCTGCAGATTTGGAACCACGGATATGGAGGGCCGACTATAAATTATACATGGATTTTGTGTGGAGCATCAGTGCCCCAAACCGACTCATTGTTCAAGGGTCAATTGTATTTACAAAATAACCTGACCCAAATAACAAAGGCCTTTATAGAATAAGTTACTACCCTTAGTTTAGTAACTCTTAGTCTTGATGCGAAAAGAATGCTTATGACATAGTATGTGATAAAGTTGGATACAAAGTTGTATATATAGTATAGTCTAATAATACAATGAAAAAATGCATTCAGAAGACTAGAAGGGCTATACAAAATGCTAACTGATTATTTTTGGGTAATGAGATTAACTTTTCTCTTGTGACTTCATACTTTTTTGTGTTTTCCAGTTTTCTACAATGAATTACATTGATGAGAGAAAAAAATTTTTGGAAATGTAAGATATCCTATTACCAATTTTTGAATTTTGAAACTTAGGGTAGCCTGATTTTTGGTAGCGCTTCATGCTATCAAGATACGGATAATTTTGCCCATGTCCCATAGGAGAAAGAGGTCATAATCTATAAATATGTATAAATTTAGAAACTAACTGTGCCACATTTTCTGGCTAGTTTCTTTACCAGTCAGCCATTGTCACCTTTGTGTTGTGTTGACTGATTTTCTTCCAGCTTCATTTTATCTATGATCTGACTCTTATTTCCACACACAAATGTGTGTGACTCTCTTATGGGAAGATGTAGTATTTAAGTTTGAAAGTTTGTGGGGTAATAATAATGCCATTATACTCTTGAATTTCTGCCCATTTGGGAACAAATTCTTCTGTATTGTCCAAGCACTCCTTCTGATGTGTCACCTTAACTAAAAACTGTATCCTCAGGTACAGGGCATCCCTCAAAGTATTCTCTATACTTTTTCCAACTCTCTGGCTCTTTTAACCTTGTAGGCAAAAAGGGGCATTTGGCATAGCTTGTATCCCAGTGGTTATTGTTAGTAAAAATAGGAAATCGTACTTACTCTCAATTGCCAGGCTCTGTTTAATACTTCACATGTGTTGTCTCAAGTAGTTCCAATAACTTTCTGAACTAGTTACTCTTGTTGATAAAACTTAATGTCTGCAGAAGTTAAGTAACTTGTTAGTTCAAGGGCATACATCTGAGAAATGACCTCACCTGGGTAGGAACTTAGGCTTCTAAACTCAGAGAACTTCTTAAATGTTATCACCATCAGTAAATAACCTCTTCTCCTTTGACATCACATCATCTAATTATACTACCCTTTCTCTAACTTTACCACAAGCAAAGATGAAATGAAGAGAACAGCTGAACCCATCTTAAACGCTTCATTTTCATTTTGACCCATTTGGAATCGGGCCTCATTATTCTTGACCTCAACTTTAACAACTAACATCAGCACTCTACTTCAGCTCTTCTAGGATCTCATCACTGGGAATTGCTGTACTGCCAATATTTCAAAAACTGAACTGGCCTTCTGGTTGATACAACCCTCCTCTGATCCTTGTTCTGCTAACCAAATGGCTGTTTCCCATCATTGCACCTGGTCCTTTGATCCCTGTCTTCACTCCACCTCCCACCCCCCATTTTATTAAGTTCCTCTCTAGGTTTGTCTGTATCCAGCTTCACAGTTATTTATGATCAGGAATTTTGATGATGCCTTTTTTTTTCCCCCTCAATCTCCTGCTCTTATTCTGGGTAACCTCCATTGTCTATGGTCTGTCTTCTTCCTCCTGGCTGCCACTTACGTAGTGACTCACAGGAGTTTGCTCATTAGATATAATCTTTTCTTTAATCTCTAGCTCATTCCCTATTATATATTCAGATTTTTCAGAGCATTTCCAAATCTTTTACTTTGGGCTGCCGGTCCGAGAACTGTCATTTGCAGGGAGATGACATTACTATAATTGGTTTAGAAAGAATTTGGAACTTGATCCTGGATCTGGGAGGAAAGGATATTGAACAGTCAACCTGCAGTGTTTGTTTAATGGTTGCTGCAATACAAATTACCTTTGATAGATCCGCTTTATCACTATCATTGGTCTTGCTTCAGCACTGACTTTTATCCCCCAAATGCCCATTTGATGAAACCTCTCTTGTCATTTATTCATATAACATTATTAAACGCTCACTGTGTGCCAATTTATTTATTTCATTTCATTATAACAGTAGTTATAAAAGTTACATGCACTTGGTAAAAACATGGTAAAAAAAGGTTATAAAATAAAAAGTAAGAGTCTTTTCTCTAACTAATTAATCAGTCCAACTTTCTAGCTGTGTCTACTGTTTCTTACGTACCTTACAGAAATTTGGAAAAATTTAATGCATATATATTCTTTTTTCTCCTCATACACTGTATGTTATTTTATATAATGTCCTGCATCTTGCTTTTTTTTCGCTTAATAAAATATCCTGGAGATTTTTTCCTTGTGCTTTTAGATAGATAGGTCACATTCTTCTGCACTTCGTGTAGTATTTCACTGTATTGATTTTCTATGAATTATCAAGTGTCCTGTTAGTGTATATTTAGTTATTATGAATTAAGAGCCCTGTTAAGGTGTTTAGTTATTTAGAATTTTTCTGTTGTTACAAACAGTGCTATAATAAAGTATATTTTGTGTTGTTCAGAGTTTATATATAGTAGCTGTTGGCAAACTATGGCCCAATAACTGGGCCCCTATTTTTGTAAGCAAAATTGTATTGGAACATAAGCAGCCATTTGTTTTTATATTGTCTGTGGCTGCTTTAGAACTAGAATAGATGAGTTGAATAGTTGTGCCTGAGTCCTCATGGCCCAAAGCTGAAATTATTTACTACCTCACCCTTTAAGAAGTGTGCTGACCCCTCACCTGTAGTATAAATTCCTAGAAATGGAATTACTGGGTCAAAGGGTATGCATATTTTAAATTTTAAACTTTATAGTAAAATTCAAATGTGTATCTTTTTTCAAATTGCCACCCAAACCGTTGACATAGTTATAATTCTACAGTGTATGAGAGTATATGTTTTTATGAGTGCTTGCCAGTCGTGAGTTTTATCAAAGAAACCCGTTTGTCCAGCTGATAGGTGAAAATGGTATTATGTTGCTTTGTTGTTGTAGAAAGAGTGGAGGGCAGTTAAAAGTGAAGAACCTAGAGTCACATTGGCTGGATTTGAATCTCAGCTTTACAGCTTCGCAAAGTCTTGGGCATTTTATTTAAACTAACTTAAGCGTCAGGGATCTGAGCCTGAAGTTGGGCTTAACTATGGGATGTGGTGACACTGCTATTCATAAAGTGCTTCGTATAGTGTCCGGCATGTAGTAAAATTGCCACAAGTGTTAACTTTTATTATTCATGTTTTCTTGGTTTCCCTGGTTTTGCATATGCTCATGTGCATGCGCATTCCACTTTTATATGCAGTTCCCTTTGTTCCTACCCATCCTAGAATACTCAGATCAAATGCCACCTTTTTCAGGTTCCCAAACCGGATGAGTTCTCCCTTTGTAGCAGCATTGTTTTTCATGCATTATCATTTACTTTCTTGTTTTAGATTTCCTCTTGGATTTTAAGCTGCTTGAGAGGAAGGACTGTGCGTCATTTGTGTCTTCAGTGGCGTCTGCCATGATAGTTGCTCCATGTTTGTTGAATTTGTGAATGAATTATGGCTCTACCTTGCCATACTTACTGTTTGACTTAGAGCAAACTGCCTGTTAAAATTAACTGCATTTAAATAACAATCTTCCTAGTCTCTGATGTTTTTAGTTAAATCATTCCTCTCCAAGCTTAACAGAGTGGTCTGGCACACTAATTATTAGTATTAATTGGAGTTCTTCTCCAGAGTATACTTCTCATTCTGTTTAATATCAGAATAAAAAATTAAGTTAGGTCTCATTTCTCCATCATTCAACTCCTTGTGGACCAGAAAGTTAGGGACAGGACTCCTGTCATAGCCAGCTTGTTAAACTCAGCACTGCACAGGAACGAGCCCCATCTTTAATGGCCAGGTTAGAGGCAGTCATGGAGTTCATAAGAATTAAACATGCTTCTAACCCAAGAAGACTTGTATTTCTTAAGCATTAGGGCTTCAAATAATTTGCTTTTAGGAAATCTCGTTACATTCAGGTTAAGTCAAAGGAAGAGCAGGGATCCATCAGTTGAGAGGATCTGAAACTTAAAAGGGTGACTATGACTAGTCGGTGAATTGCACAGTTTTAAAACTGCACTCCTTGAAAGAAAAAGGAAAAATAAAGCTGGGAAATGATAGAGGAAAGAGCAAGTGGAGTTATTTCTCTGTCTTCTCTCACTAGACTGTGAGATTTTGAGGACAAGGACCAGATCCTGCACGTGTCTGTCTCTGAGCTCTGTCATGGTACTTCACGCAGTAAATATTTGTTGAGTGGAGTTCTAAATCTGGAAATGGAGAAGTAGTGTCTAATGTTATTTTCATGGTAATGCAAAGCCTGTCTACTCTCTTGCAAAAAGCATTACCTTGAATTGTATTCCCCAGTGTGAGTTAAAAAAGCCTTTTGTGAAAAGGAAGAAAATCAAATAAAACCAAACCTGCATAAAAAGTTTTAAGAAGTTTTCCGTTTCTGTAAATGGAGATTCCTCTTCTCAGAAAGTGCATGGAGTTGTTAGCCCAAGTTCCTGTTACTCTTGCCATGCAAAGCCCATGGATATGTCCCCCTTCTCTCTCCTAGGACCCCATTTATAAACTGTGACTTTTGGCCAAAATGCTTTCTTGCGGGTTTAACATTTTATTAAGATTATTGTTATATCATTGGAGGGGATGATTTCTATAAGTGTAGAGGTAGGAAGGCAAAAAGTTTTCCCATTCTTGGACCTTGTCCAAGATACAGGTTTTATTGAATACTTTCAAAAAAAACTTTTTAATACACATTATTAAAGAAGATAATTTAGATAAGAGGAATCTAGGACATGTCACCTAACAGGTAAAGTACATAATAGGCATTTAATAAATGATAACATTATTAACTCTACTGTTAAAAATGGTAAAGGGATGTTACAGAGGTAGAAAATAGAAGAGAGATGGCTTCAAATTTTATGATTGTTTCCTGGAGAACTAAATAATTAGAAGTTAGTCTGCCGGTATGATGTTGATATATTTAAATGATCGTTAGTTTAAAAGTGACCTTTAAAAACCTTTTTTAATAGAAAAATCCAAATGACAATTATTAATATTGAGTGAATATGTACAGTAAAGCATGTTATCTGCTCCTGTTGAAAATAATGTATTGAAATCAGTGTGTTCTAGGTCAATGGCTTCTAAGACTCCTGTTGGATTCATTGGAGTAGGCAACATGGGGAATCCAATGGCAAAAAATCTCATGAAACATGGCTATCCGCTCATTATTTATGATGTGTTCCCTGATGCATGCAAAGAGTTTGTAGATGCAGGTGAACAGGTAAGACCTTTCCTTAAGATTGTTTTTTAGATTTTGATATTTAAAAATGACTATACATTCAAATAAGTGATAGCTTCTTAGATGTATACACAATTGATTTGTAAAGCTAATTCATTGTTAGTTTTCTGTATATAATATTACATATGTATATATTCTGTAAGATGTAAAATATGTGTACACACACATACACACGCACAGGAGACAGTGTACTAGTCACTGAATTTAGAGTTTTCTTTTTCCAAAGATGAAGGAAATTCTTCTTGTACAAGTTGTAGAGTGGTAACTGAGGACTGAATGTAATCCCAGAACTGGGAGAATACTACAAAATTCCTGAGAAATAAAGGAAAAGTTTAGAGAACAAATAGACAGTCAACTTCTGGATAACAGACTTGAAATAAAGACTGAGAAATGCGACGCCTACATAAAGAGCAGCCCGTTTGCAGAGCCGAGTGTCCTCCGCCTCCCTCCCTTTGCTGGTTTGTGTGCCGTATGGGGATGGCAGCAGTGTTGTTTGAGGATGAGTGAGTATCTTCTTGGAACTTTTCCAAGGGTGGTGCTGTGGCTGCTTATGCTCATACAGTCTCTGAATATTAACACTGACACCAGTCCAGCAGGCTTACTCATGACCTTAAGTAGCTTAGGGACTTAGTAGACTTGTTGGAGAGATTTGATTCACCCCAGACTGAATAACGTTCCAGAAACTTGTGTGTGTGTGTGTGTTTATGAAAATTCACATGCGTTCCTCTTTCCCTTCCTACCCCTTCAAATAATAGGTGGAAATTGAATGGAAACTGATATACCCTAGACTGGCGAAGCAGTCTTAACAAAACAGGTGATAGGGCCTTCACTAATGTAGTAATTTAATGTTTCTTTAGTACTTTCTATGTGCTAGGCACTGGGAATATAGCCTAGAACAGAATAGTCAGTTTACCTTTGGGGACCAATAGGAGGTGTTAGATTATCAAATCACACAAATACGTGATTTCAAATTGTGAAAGTTGAAAGAAAAAGACTCTCATCGGTTTTCAGTAAAATATGCATTACATTGGGTGAGAGGGCAGTTAGGGAAGTTTTCTCTGAGACTAGACATTTAGGCAACACAAGAATAAGGGGCTTTTATCCAAATGAAGAATGAGGACAAAGGAGCGATTTTATTTAAAAATGGAAGCCTCGGTCACCAGGTTTCTAGAGATTTCTACTTGAGGTCAACTGATATAGAATGAGTACCTCCCATATGTCCAGTAGTCCAACTAATCCTGTGGAGAGTAAACCAGGTTGAATTGGATGTGGCAACGTATTAGATGTGTCTCAGGTGGCAAGACTAAATAACATTTTAAAAGAGTTTCTACTAAAATTATATTCGACTATAATAAAGTGCTGAAGCAGTTTTTGAGGGGAAAAATAATAAGCAACTATTAAGAGTTATTTCATTTCTGATAGAGAACTACATAAATATTGAGTATAATCTTTGCGTATCTACAAACAGAACTGCTGTAGTCTTAAATGAAAGTCATGGAGACAAGATCTCTCAGATTGCTGAGTAGAAATTAGAAGATTCTAGGACACAGACTCCGTTATTAGATTTTCCTTCTTCCTTGAGATGTGTAAGTGGGTGTGAGGAAGGAAAGAAGATGGATTCTGGGTAGCTGCCTCTCCCGATCAGTGAAGAGTGAAGACTTGTCTTAGCTTCATGCCTGCAGCTCCCACCCCTGCCCCCAGCACTCGGTGGGAAAAGTTCTGTGGGTGGTTCACACTGAGGCGGCAAGCCTGGAAGGCAGAATGCTCTTTTCCCACGTCCCATCTCTCACATCTCTGGTTCCCTTAAGAGTCTTGACTCTAAGAGGTCCTCTGAGTATTGATTATAACAGCAATGGAGGGCAGGGGAATGTGAAACTTAGATAAATGAAGGGGTAAGGGTAGAGGGTAAAAAAGCTTTGGTCCCAGAGGGAAATATCCTGTCATGATAAAATGAAACATTTGTTGATAAATGATTTATGCAGGCAGCTTAAAAACCATTTTGAACAGTGGCAATGTCATTTGAATAAGTGTGATTTCCTAAAAGCCCTACTTTAAAAGGTAATGTTAATTTGGATGAATGACTTCTGATATATTAAAATGTCAGTATCATTATTTCATAGCTATATTGAGTTTAAATATGTTTGCTAAAAGAAAAGGTGAGTTTCATTCTACTACTAAGAAAAGATAAGATGGGATAAGATGAAAAAATGTCAGTGAAAACCTTGAAACTTCTTGCCGTTGTGTATGGTAGTGCAATGAATGGATTAAGAGTTCAGAAATTCAGAGTATGTTTGAGTTGACTTTTAGATTTTAAGGACAAGTGTTCCTTTCTTCTCCTAATGTGACTATTTCAAGTGAAGCTGATGAAATGGTAGCCAGAGGAAACGAAATCTTTTCCCCCAAAGTTTGCAGGAAAGTCTGGTTAGTTGATTTCTAACGTCAGCTGTGCTTTCAGTGGGAAATTTGCAGGAGAGAAAGTACCAAACTAGACATATCTGGATTGAAAAGCAGTCAACTGGTTCCAAATATCTTTGGACATCTCCTTGAAGAAGTACTCTTTCTTTCCTTCTTTCTTTTTTAAATAAGCAGGGACTAGGGATTTGTTGTTTTGTGTAACTGAAGAGTTGGGGAATGGTCTGAACCCAGGCACAGCTGAATTTTGGGCATAGATGTAATCAGATTCCTTTCTGTCTTGGATTCTTGGTTCTGCTTCCTCAGGCAGGCAGGCTCTTCTCTCCTGTGAGATGGCCACCTGCAGTTCTAGGTGAAGAAGTGTTTAGGATGTTACCAGCCTGGAGGTTTTTCTTCAAGCTGTACCTAGTAGTAAAAAATACTACGTGGGTTATGAAGCAAATAAAAACTTTGACGTGTCATGTGCCTGGTTGTATTTAACAAACTTATTCATGCCCTTACATGTTAACCAGTTCTATTAGGGTATTTATAATTGGTTAAATATGTTATTTGTTTTCATTTCCATAAAAAATTTGAGCCTTGCTCTTTTTCAGTATCCCTTAAACAATCTTTATTTCTACTAAAAACTCAGTTTTAAACTACAATGCATCATTTTGACTTCTAGCATCTTTTCTAAGAATGTAACTCATGATAATTATCAAGCCCTTTGGTATTAGAAATCATGAGTCAATAAATTGTGAATGTATTGGTTAGTAAGCATAAACCCTGGAACCTGACTGCGGGGGCTCAAGTCACAGCTCTGTCATGTCCTGGCTGTGTGACTTTAGACAGATTATTTAACCTAAAATTTCTCATCTTATAAAACAAAAATAGTAATAGTACCTTCTTCTTAGTTGTAGAGAAGCTGGCACATACAAAATACTATCACTGTTGCTACTACTATTACTACTGTTAATGATTGTTGCTTTAGCATCTATACCATATTTCTCCCAAATCTTCATTCCCCAACACCACACATAGAAACACACGACTGTCTTGGCTGAGTCACTGAGTCCAGAGTTATTTGGAAGAGAATTGTAGGCATTTTTAAATGAAAGAATGATGATAAAAATTAAAACTAAATTAGGTGACAATGTGATTTGATTGCATCTCTCCTTAAGAATATATTCTGCACAGTCCCTTGTGTTGACTTTTATTTTACGAAAGATACCAATTTCTCTTTTTAAGCCTTAGTGTCAAGGGCATATGACTTTTGCTTCATTTCCATTTTCATTTTCTAGGAATTTCCTAGGAGGTGCCTCTTATCTGTGCCAAATGTCTTGGGACTTATGTACCATTTCTGTGTGAGTTTTCTGGTTGAACTAGGCTTAATTAGATTCTCTTTTGTTTTCTCTTTAAAAACTTGGACACCATTTTGTTGTTCCTGGGTTATAAGACTGAACATGTTTGGTTTAGTAATTCTCTTGGGATCTAATCTGGCAACCACTTGGGTCTTGTTAAATGAGAACTTTAAAAGCCTCTTGCTGAGTGGGCTTCATCATTGTTGACCAAATGTTTCAAGATGTAGGCACAAACTTTTTCGGTCAGTTTTTCAAATGTAGTGCAATTTTGAAATAACAGTATGCTCTTCTGCTTGGAAAGATTGAAATACACTGAGTAGCAAGTTTAACCAAGGTCATGTTCATCTTGTTACTTTGCAAGTTTCTCTCACACATTTGGTTTACTTGGAAGTGATACTGAGCTCGACCTGTGTGCCTATTTTTGTCTAGAAGAGATAGCGAGATTTTCCTCTTTATGTAATATCACTAAGTTAACTGTTGCCTCCTCATGGATATGTAAAAAGGAGGTGCAGTTCCTTCTGATTCTTCTGGGCCCTGATGAGCACCGTAATGCCTCCCTTCCCTGACCCAGCAAAGCAGATTTTGTCTTTAATCTGTCAAGTCTTCTACTCTTTGTCTTGTACACTTGCCATTAATGCTTGCCAGCGTACAGATGAATCTAAATCCAGAGAAATTGGTTGCAAAAATTCTTAAAAGACTATGGATACCATGAAGGGAACAAATCTCCTATAGTCAAAATTAAGACAATGGAAAGGTAGAGTCATCTTAATTCATAATGGTGTAAGAATGGGAGGCAGTTGGAATTAGCAAGACATCTTTCTGGGATGGCCTTGACAGTCAGAGCAGAGCCACGGTCCAGAGTCAGCCGGTCAGTGACTGCCTGAGATGTGGAAGTGTGGGTATCCTGCTAATGCTATACATTTGTGTAGAGTCATTCATTGCACATGCTTCCTATCCCATCAGCCCTTTTTCACAGAGGCAGTATCTTCCTAGAACTGAAGGCTGTTAAATATGAAAAATTTCTTTGTGTAAGTTTCCTTTTACTTTGGAGGTAGAAACCCTTAAAGATAACCCAAATCACTATTCTTATTTTGTAAATTCATACACGAAAGCCAGAGAGGTTAAGTGATTTGCACAAAAGCACACATGACTTAGTGGCTGAGCTATAAGTAAACCTGAGTCTCTGGCTTTCCAAATAAGAGTTCCTTTCACTGATCCATGCTGTCTTTGCTTATCCATTCAATTAGCAAATGTAATTGAAGAGACTCTAATTAGTTTGGCTCCTAAAGGCTTTTGTGGTTAGTGTCAGACTGGCAACAAGGTTTGTTTTTTGCCTGCTAGCTTTTGAGTCGTGGCCAAATTTTGTTAGTCAATTATTTCAAAGTCTTGAAGTCATTACATGGAAGGCAAGATGATTTGAATAACTGGACACACATGTCTGTCTATCTGTCTAATAAACATGCCTTCTGTAGTGCAAATTAGAGGATGTTATTATAATGCACCAAATGTATATAGTCATTAGATATGGAGCAGTTGTAGCCAGTACGGTGGTGACATTGCAGCTATCACTATCATTGTGTGTTTTTTCCGGACCTGTGAATTTTGACATTACTTTCCTATATAATTGAGGGGTTAGCAGTACTCTGGCAACCCAAGCATCCCAAGAAGCAGATGCTAGGGATGCAGGGGGCTGATTGGCCACCCCATGCACTTGGCAGTTGCATGAATTGGCACTGCCAGTTCATGGGCACGAGAAGCTTGGAGTTGTGAAGTATTCCTAGATCTGTGAGCTAATTGTTGGTGCCCCTGAGGGCACCTCTCAAGGAGTTATCTAGATGGAATTGAATTTCCTTCAGTGGAAGAGACTCAGTTCCTAAGAGAAAGTCTGAAGTTGACTCTTCAACCTCATGGCTTACTTGCTGCAGTCCCTGAAAGATCAGGGAAGATGAAGCTGCAATAGGAGGAAAGGCCAGTGAAAGGTATGCCACCGTTTTGCATGTATTTAACACTTCATTTAAGTATGATGAACAGATGGGGTTCTGTGTGTTACCCATGTTCTTGACACAGTCCAGGAGTAGAGAATTATGACTCCTACAAGTTTTCTTTTCTTATCTCCTCTTCTTACTGAGCTGCCCACCCCCTTGAGTAAACTTGCATTGTTTGCCAGGAAATAGTTGCCTCTTTTTGAATCTCAGTATTTATTTGGGTAGGAAAGGTTTTCCTCTCACTTAAGTATTTCTTTGTAATTTGGTGGAAAAAATTTTTTTTCCAGAATTACTTGTGGTAAATCCCTATTATATACCAAAATATACATGTTGAATGTGCCACGTTGTAGACTCTAAAATGCTGTATTGCCTTTAGAATGAAACATTGAAAGAATCTGAGATATTTTATATTATCATTTAATGTTAATACACAAAGTGCTAGGATACTTGATTGTCTGAAATTTTAAAGTACATGTTATGAAATTACTTTGTGTTAAAACTGCATTTATCCAGACTTGATTTAGAAGCTGCTAGTCTCATATGGAAAATTGAAATGTAATTACTTGTAGCTTGTAATATTTAGATTACTTACTATGTTTGGCTTCTCATTCTTTCACTTTCATCAACTGCACATCAAAGACAAAAAGAAAGTGTTCTGTATACTTCCAGCACGTGAATAGTAGAGGCATTCCCATTCCTAAGATGCTTAGTGCCACTTAATGTTTCCTAGTAGAAGATGTGTTAATTTCTAATACATATGTAAATCATCCTACGGAGAACTCTTCGGTTATCCTCATGATAATCTTTTGTCTTTTTTTTTCAGAGAGAAAGGGCTTTGGAAAGGAGCTTTTGTGGAAATTGGGGTCATGGATTCTTCCTGTTAAAGGAGAGTTTGAGTCAAGAAGTGAGCTCCTGGTCTCTTCTGGCCTCTCTGGTTGCTAGCCGGCTGGCCAGGTGTATCATGCTGTATATATGTGAGAGAGCGGGGTTGGAGAGAATGTGGGTGAGGGTATGTATACCCACCCATATACACATATGTACAGAGGATGGACAGAGCAGCTTTCCTCTACAGTATATTTGTGATCATCATGAAAGCAGATATCAGGGTTGCAGGGAGAGTGTACCTTGATGCCTCTTGGTGTGTCTTTCTTGCGTATGTGGTTTCCATAAGAGTCCTGGCAGCTCTCAGGCTTCATGGTGGTATTTGCAGTCAGTGCAGTAAAGGCTTATGTCCTTGTCCTGAATTTTTCTTGTCTGAATCAGGCTTAATTTTTTTTTCCCCCTTGAAAATAGACACTGGAGGATAGTGGTAATGGAGGCTTGAGAATTTACTAGGGGATTTTGAAATAACTGGTGAATCCTGTAGATTGGCTACCAGGTCTGTTGTGCCAGAATGCTTTTCTTAGTGCATCTACCCAAAAAAAGTATGCTGTTTAAGAATCCATGTTGGAGGAATCCCTGAGAAGTGTGTCTGTTCCCAGGACTGAAGTTTTGCCCTTTTCCCCCTCAGCTCATTTCACACTTTTTAAAAGTAAACAGTGAATGTGATTGATTCCATAGAAACTCCATCTGTATGTGTGTGAAGAATGGACTCTATTTTAGGCAGTAGGTTTGTTTGTTTGTTTGTTTTTTGTCATTTGAAAACGGATTAGTTTTTATTCACTGTCACTATTACAGGGGTGCATAAAAAGTGGATCCTACTTGTGCTCTAGAAGCTGCTTACATTTTAATTGAAATAATGTGCCTTTGCAATTTTTTTTTGAAGGTAGTGTCTTCTCCAGCAGATGTAGCCGAAAAAGCTGACAGAATTATTACAATGTTGCCCACCAGTATCAATGCAATAGAAGCTTATTCTGGAGCAAATGGAATTCTAAAGTATGTATTTCTCAACTGTAGATATTTTTCTGTTAATGATAGTTTATGAATTTCACATTTGTTAGAACTGTTATGAAACTGCAGTTATGTTTGTTAAATCTTCTTGTACTGTTTTCTTATGTCTTAAAAGTCAACGGTGTGGTTTCTCTCTCATTGTAAAGGGTTTATTTTTCCCTGAAGTCAAGTATGTGACTTTTGGGAATGTACTTTTTTTTTTTGCTTCTGTTTCTTTCCTTTCACTTCTGCATTAAACTTACACTTTCACTGGTAACATGTTTAAGAGACTTTAAAGGTTGCATTTTAAACTGTACAAATGTTACAAGCATAATTTTCTTATGGTTTATGGAAACTCAGGAAAAGGTTTCTATGAAAAATAAAACCAAGCATTGGAAAGAACACCATTATTTAAAATTTATTATTTAATAAAAGTTATTGTATGTCCTCTGGGTTAGTACATCTGTAGTAAGAACTTTGAGAAGTTGAAATTAAAGATTAGCAGTAGCTCTTTAAATAATATGTGATTTAGGTTAGAGTTTCCTACCCAGTGCCTGGCTTCCCTGGCTTTGAGAACCTTTTGGTTAATTGCTACCTATTGCCAAACCCTTGTGGTTATGTTGGGATGACAGCGGTTGAATTCCCAATTTAGTTTTCTGGTCTTACTAATTCCTGTTCCTAACTTGTTTTGTTGTTGAATTTCAGCAAAAAGCTAGAACAAAGTGGTAGGCATTATAGACACATGAAGGGCTAAAAGAAGAGTTTAATTTCCTGAGTCTGTAATATATGAAATTTGAGGTTTTGGGAAATTGAATTGCTTTGGAAAATTAACAGACTTAGAAGCAAAAAACACTTGAATATTAGGCAGAAAGCTGATAAGATAAATGTTTAGATTTCAGGGAAAGTTGAAAGACACTTATTTTGGATGGAGCCCTCAGGCTCACAATGTGTGTGGTCCTGAGGTGACCTAGCTGTCTCATTACCTACTCTGTTCCAATTATGCTTTACTGCTTTACTGCTCAAGGAAAAGTTACTAAAAATTTTGTAGCGACAAAATCCTACGTTTATTAATATCCTTAATTAAGAAATATGGTGGCCAGCCACCAGGGCAGTTTTGTCTAGGGAGTGCTTTGAAAGAGTAAGGCTGTACATCGAACTGTAATTTGCTTCTCGTGGGTGGTTCTTTATTTTCTTTTGGGTCAGGATCATTTCTTCACACCCAGTGCATGTATAATTTTTGAGACGATCTCCCATTTGCTTAAAGATTTAAGATCTTAAAAATATGAATATCACAGAAGACTGGTAAACTTAATTCTTATCTTTTAGGCTATATAAAGTGAAACTCCACACACTGAGGTGATCTATAACAGAGTATGCTATTTCTTTTCTGTGGAATATACCCAATCATTGCATTTCGATCAGAATAATTCATATGTCTAACATTGTTGTTTAAAGCATTTTGTGTGCTATTTTTTTCTAAGAAAAACATTTTCTTTTTTTGTAGTTTTTAAGCAATGATTTTCTATTTTCCCTTCAATATTTATATTTATTTAGTTCTAATTTTTCAATCATAATTATGATTAAATGTCTTCCAGGTTAGTTTATCTGTAGTGAGAACTTTGAGAAGTTTGATTTAAAGGTTAGCCATACCCCTTTAAGTATAATTTAAGTCAGAGTTTCCAAGCCAGTGAATCCATAGATTATAGACTGTAGGGAACTATATAGGTATATAGTCTGCATTTATAGTATAAACAAAGCTGTTTTACTTTAAGAATATCATCTAAATATTGGTATAAAATATGATATATGAAAAGACTGCTCCCCTCTTTCATCAATGTATGTATATAAATTTACCATAAAGAATAAAAAGACTGAGATTTCTATGTCCATTTCTATATTTTTCTTTCTGCCTGTTTGATGTTTTATTTTGTCTTTAAAAAGTTACAGTTATTAAAGAATATGCCATCCTAAAGCAAATGGCTAAATTTTGATTGCTTTTGTTCATTCTACCTAGTGGAAATGAAATGGAGATGTGAAATTTGCAATATGACTTGCTAAAGACAAGTAAATTACTTTTTAAAGAGACCCAGCTACTTTACAAACAAAAATTTAAATCCTACCAAATAACCCTTTTAAAGTTAATAGGTGTTTTAAATTGCTTACATCTTAGCCTGAAACCAGAATTTATGCTGTGTAGTTTATTAGATTATTTTTGTTTGAAAGAGTTTGAGTTTACTTTGAACTATAATTGATCTGAAAATGAATTTGAGATTTTTGAACCAGTTCTAATAATGTTTTTAATATTAAACCAAAGACCTCCTTGATATCTGGCAGCTTTTACATTCTGAATGTTTATTCAGAGTTGTAAACTATATTTTTCAAACTATAAAACTATGGGTTTTTTAAAAACTATATTTTTGTTTATTTTGTTTACTTAGGAAAGTGAAGAAAGGCTCATTATTAATAGATTCCAGTACTATCGATCCTATGGTTTCGAAAGAATTGGCCAAAGAAGTTGAGAAAATGGGAGCAGTTTTCATGGATGCCCCTGTTTCTGGTGGTAAGTGGTAGCTAAAATACATGCACCCCTATTCTGTTTGTCAAAGTAACAATTACAATTTTGTGGTACCCAAGATATATCGAGTTATTTTTAGAGCTATTACAGATACTCAATTCCTCTTTAAAAATAAAAACAAAGCAAAACTGACTTATATTCCAGTTTTTAAAATTCACATTCTTCTACATTGTGGAAGTATGAAAGTATGTCTTTTAAGTCTCTGGTTTCATAGCACAATGCCTGGAACATAGTTATCTTCAATAAATATTTAAAAACTTGGGTTCAGTTCAGTTGGAAAAACGACCGTATGAGATAGACAGAACAAGGAGTGATGTTCCCACTTTACAAAGGATGGAAGTAGCACCCAGAGGTGTTAGGTAACTATCTCAAGACTATGTTAGTCAGTGGCAGAGTTGCAGATACATCCTCAACTATTAGTTGAAGGCTAGTTTCTAGTTGAAGCCTAGAAAGATGAGGCTGAGGAAACTAGTTATTTGCTCAAGACTAAAGCTAATTTGTTTCATATTCTACTGCATTAGGAAATACTATTTTCTTATAAACTAAGTTCTAGTTTATTCTAAGAGAGAATTAAAGATTGCTAAATGGAAGGCTGTTCTTTAAACTGTAAAATCTTTCTCATTATTTGGCTAAAAGCAGCTAACAGCTAATGTGGTGAACTATTACAGTAATGGCCCTTTATAGATTACAGCTCTCATTCTACACTGTGTACTTCTCCATCCAACTCCAGGCTTAGCCATCTGACTTGCTTTGGCTAGTGGTGTATTAGCAAATGTTACACAAGGATGGACTTCAAAAGCACTTTGTATATTGAGGCTTGCTCTGTCTTGCTGCTGGGAACTCTTCCACTGCTGCATAGAGAAGCCTGGACTAGGTTGCTGGAGAGATGCACTAACTCCCCAGTGTGTAAGTGAGGTCTTGTTGACTGTCTAGCCCGAGTCCAGTTCCCAGATGACTGAGCTGCATTACTGACCTCAGGCCTGACCAATAAATGAACTGCCCAACTAGCATGGTCTAAATTGCTCACCCCCAGAATTATGAGCAAATAAGGCCACTAGGTTTTGGCATGAGTGGTATGTAGCAGTAGATAACTGATGGAGCCAATGTAGTTGCTATTTCTATACTTAGGTAGAAGTGTTTGTTATTTATTGTATTGACCAGTGTGCTACCTGTGCTGACAAAACTCTTTCTGAAGGAGAATTATTACAGTGCAGTTAGAATAAAGGCCAATTTCAATGCCAAAGCTTAGTTGCTAAGGTGAAGTTTTATTATTAAGCTATTCCAGAGAAGAGTTAGGTTTGCTATTAACAGGTCCCTGACTTATGCCTCTGTATTTCTGATTAAAAGGAGATTGTTTGACTAAATGTTGCCTAAGTAACTACCTTGGTGAGATATGAGATACACATGTTTAGTAACATCTGGAAAGGTAAGTTGGTAAAACTCAGTGTCATTAGGATGTTCCTGTGGACTGCTAGAGTTAAAGTATGTCTAGCTTTTAAGTGTTTTTTGTACTCTTAGAATTGAGCTTTATTATTAGAAGGGACCTTAGCAACACTTTAATATGACTGTTATTTTGTAGATGGCAAACTGAGATTTAAAAAGGTTAAGTGATTTGCCCATGGTTCTCCAGCTTGATAGCAGATCTAGAACTAGCATCTTACTCTCCCAGCTCACTAAGGTTTTCCCCACACTGCCAGACCCTATTCCTTTCAGTGGCCTTCTCTCTTTTTCTTATCAGTTGCCTACTGTTAACCCCATTTCTAAGAATTTTATCTCACTCACTGGCTGGTCCTCTGTCTTCTGTCTAGCTGACAGGCACTGCCTGGAGTGAAACCCCTGGTGGGTGAGTGAGGGGAGGAACTGCCTTCTTTTCTAACCCTCAGAGGCTGCCTTCTAATCCGGAAGAGGCCTGACACTTCTGTTCCAGAGTCACTTCAGAAGAAATGGTTGAGAAGCCATTATTTTGGAATCTGAAGAACTCCAGAGAGATTTGGCTAGTCCTATTGTGTTGCCCCCATCCTGGAATGTTATTAACTGCCTATCAAGGAGGCTTTTGTTCTGGAGATGGGTTGGGATAGAATCAAAGTTTTTTGCGTTCTTCCTCTTTGGGATCCATCTGGTTACTGTGCTTAATCAAACCTCCAGAAAAAGAGACATTAAAGCAGTATCTTGGTGTATATCTCTAACATGTTTGAGCTTGACGGGGACAGGATCCGTTCCTAGGTATAAGGACTTGGATTTGAACAGCATTATACCTGAAAGCAGAGGGGAGAGGGGATTGTTTTATATGTAATAGGCTATTTTCCATGCCGTTCTTCTGTGTTCCCATAGTACAGGATCTGTGCTGTTGCGAGGGCCATTGTGTTAAGCTTATGTTTATGCCAGTTTCTTCCACTACTAGACTCTGAAGAGGGCAGATACCATCTTTTTTTAAACTTTCTATCACCAGTGTGTATCTCCAGGTGGGCATTTAATAAAGTATGGTTGATAAAATCAAAAATCTTCTTTTTTTTTGATTCAAGATTAATGTCAAGTACTTTGAGCCTTTCTGCAGTTATTTCTCACTCCCAAGCTGTTCTCTAGGTTATTATCTCCAGATTATTGACCTCTCCCTGAGGTTAAACTATGTAACTGCCTCTACATTCTAACATCAGTCAGATAGTAAGTATTTGACTGTGTTCAAAATCTTAATTATAATAGTAGGTGCCACTGGGAAGTGTGATTGTGATCAAAGTGGTGGGTTAGGCTAAAAGAAGTAGAATAATATTCAGAACAACTTAAAGAGTAAGTTCTTAGATTAGACATTTAGAATTTACGAAAATATACTAATAAAACAATTTGCAATAGTTACAAAATGCAAAATAATACAGTACAGCAGTATTCCCAATACTTAGCAACCAGAAAGGGAACTCTTTATTAACAGTCTGATCACAGCGACATGCTAGGCAGTGTAGAAAAACGATGTCTTTGCCCTATCCGAGGTGGCTGTTAATACTTAATTTGACTCGGTTTATATTCACCTCTATGGCTATTTAAAGAGAGAGCGTAGCACCAGATTTGATTTATGTTGCTGTTTCCAGGGCAGGAGAAGGATTTTTCATTGTGGAAATGGAAAATTTATGTTAAAGATCAACGAGAAACCTAGTAGATGATTCCCAGTTACATCAGAGGGGAACCAGTGGAATTTACAAGTAGATTTGACAGTTCTTTAGTAAGTATTCTTTAAGCAAGAAAGAAAGGAAACTGTTTAGCTCATATAATCCTCTTACCATCTTTAGTTTCATTTTTCATTGTATTTCTGTTAACAAATTAAAAGAAGTTTACTTGGATATTAGGGAGAGCCAGGAACTTAAAAGTAACTCTAAAAATGAAGGTCTTCATTTTTTCTTTAATGAAATGTCTTAAATTATTATATTTACATAACTCTTAGAAGATTATATACTGTTTTCTGATTATACACTCTAATCTTCTCTATTATGCTGACAGCACCTTGATAGCAAGGGACATGCTTCATTCCTCATTTCACGCAGTAAACATTTTTGGGTACTTCCTATGTACAAGGTATATTCTAGGTACTAGAGTTAGAACTTTAAAGATATTCAGTGTCTTTTGCATCATGGAGCTTATGATGTAGTAGGAATAGAGAGAATAAACAAATGAACAAGAATAACTTCCATGATAAGTACTATGAAAGAAAAAAGGCAGAGTAAACAGTTAAGGAGACAGAGACTGAGGGGAGGGCCTTTTGACTAGAATGGACAGGATGCCTTTTCTGGGGAAGTGACATTTAAGCAGAGACCTGAATGCACAGGTCCAGGGGAAGAGTGTTTTTGGTGGAGGGAGGTGCTCTGTAAGCACACTAGGGCATGAATATGCTTGGTATGTTTGTGGAACCTTTATCTTTGTATCACCAAGTCTTAGCAGGTAGTTTCCCTCAGAGTCAGTTAAACTGAATCACCTATACCTTGACTCCTCATATGTCTAATGCCATGCCTTTGTTTAACAGTTTGTGGTTATCAAAGTAAAGCTAACTGGGGCTTATGTCTGTCAGTTAGCCCATGGCACTGGCCTCATAAGTATGATGCCCTAATCTGTTTATCTGTCTTGTGTAAATCACATCTTTATAAAAGGTGTAATCCTTCTTTAAAGTGAAGTGTTTAGTCACACCATTTTGGGCACATGTTTTTTTTTTTTTTAGTGTGGAGTAGGTCTGCTACTACAGAGTTAGTTCCAGTTTGATCACCTGTCTTGTATAATGAATGCTAGACATAAAGCAAATTAAAAACTATTGTTTGTGACTAATGACCAAATACTGTTCAGTGTGCTCCAAGGGCATAATTACAGCATTTAACTGTGCTTGAATAATTGAAGAATAAGCTCACTGATTGCCTAATACGTCTGTTGGTTTGCACAGAAACCTTGACTATGTGACTATGAAGTGGCACTTGTAGTTAGTTAGCCCAAGGCTTTCTGTGCTGGCAAGCCTCATTGATTTGCTAAATTGTATTGCTCTGGTTAGGGATTAAAGTCAGAATTAAATAATTGAACTTGCGTGTATATGTTTGTGTAACAGTTCCCTACCAGGAAACCAAATTTTATACTCTCCTTGGCTGGGTTAAGTTTTAGTAATTTGTCTGAGGTATTCTTAGTATATATATGAATAGTAAGCACAAAACTTATTAAGGAGTTTCTCTTACAGTGCTAGACTTGCTTGCTAAATTCTTCAATGAAAGTCTCATATAGACTCCATTATTGTTTTTAAAATCAAGTGTCCAGTCTTGGCCTTTACTGCTCACTGGACTGGATACCTACTGTTTTTCCACTTGATCTGTATCTAATTTATGGTAAAGGGAGCACAAAAACAAAAACTTCGTATTTTGGCACATACATAACACCACTATAGTTAAGGGTCTATTGGCATTTCCATTAAAACATTTTCTTAAGGAGGTTTATAACTTGGCAATCTTACTTGGCTTTGGGCTGAA